ATGGACAAGTTTATCGATACCAAATATGTACATATTTTTTCACTTAAAAAAATGTGAAAATCTTTAAGTCGTTTTCAATATATGTAGATAATAAAACGTTATAAATCATCACGTAGTATTTATTGAAGTAATCACGTTATATAATTAGGTATTCCTTTAATTGCTTCTTCAGTAATTTTGAACATAGTTTATAGGAACTTTTTTTGTTAGTTTGTATCCTACAATCCGTCACTAAAGTTTAGCCAACATTGTAGTTACACCCAAAGGGCAAATATGCAGAAACGCTTTTATACTGAAGCAGCAAAGCGTTAAAACAATTCTGATTTTTCTGACTTTATTCATGAAAGTAACTAAGATTGAAATTTTATATTGTGGGTTCTTTAAAAATGACATTTGGAATCTAGAACAGAACTACCATCTCTATCTTCAAGTGAGTGTTAAACTGTTCGAAAGTTATTAAGTAATAGGTATCTACAGGTTCCCCATGGTACATCGGCCGTTACGTGAGAGCGATAAAGTAAGTCATAGAAATCCGTGCGATAGACAAGGATGGTTACATTGAAGACGCTTCATAATATGAATAGTCACTCCCACTTCTAACCCGAAACGGGCGGTGACTATTCAGATTATGAAACGTCTTCACTACAGCCATCCTTGTCTATCGCACAGATTTCTTTACTTTGTCGCTCTCATGTAAAGGCAGATGGACCATGTGGATTTTCCAGCCCTGTATATATCACTGCTGTTTCATTAGGAACCAAACAATTTGAAATCTTATGGGCGAATACTTATACAGCAGTGTAGTGCAAATAAACTTTTCGAGCCACGAAACAAGAAACTTGTTATTTCCTAACCTAGAGGTTCCTACAGATCAACCGTTTGATCGTTTGAAAAATATTTGCAGATTTATTTATTATTTTACACTCCACAACTTAAAAAAAAAATTTTAATAATAATAATCAATGTTAAAAATCAGCCATAACTTATCGGGTGGTAAATTTTAAATAAATAAAAGAATTTAATTCACTTCGGATTAAATTAAAAATTTGTGGACAATTATTAGGTTATTTTACTAGAAGACAAATATTCTTATGGCAAGTTGAATTAGTGACTGTGTTGTTTTTCTCGTGTAGTTAGAATGGATTGTAAATATGCCTTATGATTTTTAAAGAAACGGCTTAAGTGGCTCCTTCATTATATGTCCTATACATGTGTCTAGTATATACATAGGACGTACTATGATTTAGTCTGATTACTTTTGAACAATTTTTACTTCCCTAAAAAGTCATAGACGTTAAAAAATATTTGTTTTATTATTTTGATTTGATATTTTTTATAATGAACTAAGGTTTTGAGGTGAACAAATATGAATATACAGTTCTTTTGCCTAACAATAAGACAAAGCGGAGGTCGCTAGGAATAGTGTTTTTTTGCCGTATTTTTTTTGTTGGCAAGAATTTTGAGAAAAAGCAGGTGTTTTTTGTGACTTCACTTCATTTGCTGCAAAAAGTTACCTAGTGTAGGTACATACATACATACTGTATACATTTTAATTTTCTACCTGCAGCCATCAGGTATTTCCGGGCATTCTAGTCTAATTAAAACTATTTTGTAAAATTAAATATTTGTTCACGTTTTAGAAAAACTTACTTCTATTATAATCTCACTGTCTACATCAGAGCTTCAAAAGAGTAAGCAGTAAGTCTCATGAATAAATCAATCCATAACTTTTGCAAGTTCTTAATCTGATAAATATATTATCATTTCATTGTATTATTATTTTATTATTTTTTTCATGCACACAATTATTTTGTGTGCGCACTTGGAGCATTTTATTGTTACAACGTTAATTTTTGTTCATCGTATGTTAAAAAGGAGGCGGCCAGTGCTGCAGTTTCATTTTTCGATTAGTCAGTTTCCAACCGAGAAGTTTGCTTTCGTGTGATAGGAGTTCAAGTTGAAAAAATGTGGTATTATTTTCACATTTTAGTTATTCTTGTGTGTGGAATCGTGTGTTAGCGACCAATTTGTAAAAAATTGGGGTAGTCGTAAACCAGCAAATTTAAGAGATCAAGAACGTCGCACGAGCATAATAAACAACGTTTATTAGAGAATTCGAGCACGAAACGTGGATATATCGGTGAGTGGTGCCATGAAAATATGCAGTTCTTTAACAAAACTGTATGTCAGAAGAATTTATCGTGCGATAAAATGTGATGAAAGTGTAAAATAGCAAAAAAGCGAAATATGTGAAAAAAAATTGAAACTGACGATGACGTTAAATAAATGTACGATCCGCAAAAAGACTCACGGAAACTGCAATCGCAGAAGACGAAAACTTACCTAGATTTTCTCGACAAATTTTACTGCATAATATGCATGAAATTAACTTTCGTTAAACTTAACTTAATTTAAACAAAATTGTAGTTGGCGACGAGAGTATTGAATTAACTCAATACCTTAAAAAGTAAAAAGATGTGAGAGTTAATAATAAAATATATGTATTTATGAGAGAATATTAAAAAAAATAATAGTGTCGTACATCAAAAACGAAAATTTATTACTGTCGAAACATGAACAAGTAAGGACATATGGTTTCTAAAGTTTGACAAGATTCAAATATCAATAGACAGACGACAAACATTTTCTACTCGATTAAAGGCACCCTCTGGGAAAGGACGGCCATTTCTAGTGTCTTATCAGTGATGCAACTCGTAATTCAGTGATGGTTGTACTTATAGTAGTTCTACATATTTTATGTTGCCTTCCAACACTAAGTAAGTCGACTTTTGGCACACATTACCACTATTAATAATAATTTTTTATGAACAAAAACAAACATTTTGCTAACGTTTCGAAAGTCTTTTGTAATTCAGAAAATAGGTAGTTCCGCATTTTGCAGTTGTTGTAAAAGAGTACCTCAACAGAACATTCAAAGAACAATGGATCGGTAGAGGTGGTCCGATGCCCTGGCCTGCTCAGTCGCCGGATTTATTCCCACTTGATTTCTTATGGGGTCATATGAAGAGCATTGTCTATAAAACCCCTGTCAATACGGTCGAAGAATTGACCGCTAGGGTTGAAGCCACAGCGGAACAAATTAGTAATACCCATCAAATTATGAACAACGTTCATAGAAACATGATCCGACGATGTAATACGTGCATTCAAGCCAACGAACGTATTTTTGAACAGTTTTTGTAAATTTTAGTCGCTAAAGTGATAAAAAATTATTTTTAAGTTTTTTTAAGTTAAAATCCTATCTGTTGTTAAATGTCGTTAAAATTGTTAATTATTTATACCTATTTTTTTAATTACAAATGATTTTCGAAACGTTAGCAAAATGTTTATTTTTATTCATAAAAAGTCATTTTTCTTAAAACGGTTGACTTTAGAGCAATGAACCAAGAGAACTCTTTTTGTGTAAAATTAATTGATGCTTCAGAATTTGCTGTCAAATGTCAATTTTTCCAGTGGCGTAAAAGTTAGGGGGGAAAACCCTTGAGATACCTTAAAATCTCTACCACTGGTACGTCCAATGAATTCGAGAAGGGTGCGAAAAAGTAGCTTTTAATAGTGGTAATGTGTGTACAAAAGCTCAGTCCTGTAGTTCAAACGGTTCCTAAGTTATTGGCAAAAAACTAAAAAAAAAATTAACTTTTGACACTGTGTATCTCGAAAACGAAAGCCCGTAGAGAAAAATGGAAGAGGAAAAAAATATTTCTTTTCTCAAGAGGAATTTACAGTTTTCCGTTGCGTCACTTATTTAGGAATACCCTGTATATTTGTTGTTCTATATTTAACATTTCTCTAAAACGAGACACCTACCGATATTATGCATTTTGGTGACATGCAGTAAGTAAACGCTTTTACAGTGTATGAGGTGGTGTTTTAAAATCCTGCATTTTCTAAAATTTTCAACAAAAAAGATACAGCAAGAAATAACAGTCTGTTATTTTTTGCTGTATGTGTTCGTACCTATTTCTAAATTTTAGAAAACGAATAAGGTTGATATTACGGTATTACGAAGCAAAAAATGAATGTAACATAGTAACAAGACTAAATAGGTTTATCTTCATCCAAGAAAGCTACCCTTCCTTGAAGTATGGTCCATCTTTGACCGGACACCCGAATGTCCGTCGTCGTTTTGATGCTTCTTCAGTTCAAAAACTCAAAAATGTAATTCATTTGTGTCGAAACAGATCTGATTTTATTCATCTACAACCCACGGTTTGCTGCAGATTATAAAAATCACTGATTTCAAGACCGAGGTTCAGAGGCTGAGCAATAACAATAATAACCTCAACTTAATTTATGGTCGTTCGTCGATCTTATTGCTTATTTGTTTCCAAATTCTGTAAACTGTCAAAACAACCTGATTTTAAAATAGGTTGCTTCAATTCGGGCAACATAAACGAACAAACATGTACTTTCTGCTTTAGAACAGGGCTGCTTTAGAAGCTCTGTAATTTTTCTATGAATTCAACTTCGTGTACTAGGATTACAGTTATATAAAAGACCATATTTTTAATAACATACTACTTTTTTTACTAGAAACACGTTCAAGTTGAACATTTTCTATGAAAAATGTTGTTGAGATTCGACAGAAGACGTTAGATAGTACAGCAAATTACTTTTAAAATGTTAAATAATTTTAGTTATACGAATTAGCAATTCCTTCAAAAACTATATACCTAAACAAATTTTGAAGGTTTTATATAAATAAACAAATAAATTCTGAACTAAAACAACACCAAGTGGAAAAAAACGGCCAGGGGAAGCTACCACTACTTTCTACTTACGTTTCAATCTACTCAAGCCTCAAACAAGTTCATCCAACTAAAAACAAGCTAGAAGCAAAGCAAATAATAAAAAAACAAGCGTCACTTACTGCACGTCCCGAGACGGGCGAGAGCAACTAAATAAAAATTGCAGCACTCCTACGTTTGGTTGTCGCGTCTGAAGAAGTTCCATATGGAGGAAGTTGTTTTGGAGCGTACCTTTTCGCTGGTGTCCCTTTGACTGCTCCACTTGGTCGGCGCGCTGCCCTTCTTCAGGGTACCCCGCCCACTCCCGAAGCTGGCGTTGCCGGGCGGCGACAGCTTCAGCAAGGAGTCGGTGCTGCGCAGCTTGCTGGACAGCGAGTCCCTGGCCGAGACCAGGGAGCTGTTCCTCGACTTGGGCAGCGAGGAGTTGCCGGCCTTGCCGCCGGTGAGGCTGTTGCCTTCGCTCTTGTTTCTCCAGGACTGTGCAGAGTGCGGTCTACCGGGTGATTCGCCGCTACGACTACGTGTGCCGGGTGCAGGGCTGTGTTTACCTGGTGAACGAGAATAGCTCGTTTTTGTATTGCTGCCGTCCAATGTACTTACTAATTCTAGGTAATAGCAACTTATTATGTGTAGCTTGTCGGAAGCGAAGGGATGTGTGGGTGTATTGCTTATAAAGATATGATTTTAGAAAAACTTAATGAAATAGAAGTAAAAATAAAAACCGTGGAAATTTATATACCTAGTTATTCCACATATAATATCTCCACATGTCGTCAAAATCATGATGTATGTACTTAACTCCAAAAATTTAAATTTCATATACCCAAAGATTTGTTGAATACTGTTTTTCATTTTACGAAGAGTATAGCGTATACATATTTCTATAAAATTCGAGAAAGAAAAAATTTAACTATTATACAATTTCGTGGGACTCCCTCGAAAAACAAGTAATCTATTGCTAAGAAGGAGAGGTCTTCATGTCCTGTGGGTCACCGATTTAGCCGAGTCTCTGTGTATTTAAAGAGACTCATTAGTGTAGTATATCCTCAAAGTCCTCGGGTGCACATCTCGGAAATAAGGGAGACATTTTTCTCGAAAGTGTTAGACTTACTATTTGTACAAGTTCCAAAAATTCGGTCTTACGAAAGCTGTCGTAGCGAAGTAAACAGCGTGTATGTTTCTTAGTGCGGCCATTCGGGTTTGAGACTCTACCCGTTTATTTATTTTGTTCTTCTATTCTCCTTCCTTCATAGAAAATATTTATTTGTCAACATAATTAGACACGCATTTTTGTTTTTTCCTTCCCTTAGTTAAATTATGCTTTGTTTGTTTTTATGACAACAATAATCCAAAAAACTGTACAGAGTGATTCACTATATTTTGATCCCCCCCTTAACTTTTTTGTTTTAAAAGTTATTAAAGAATGTGAAACATAAAAGTTGCACGAGTTTTTATGAATTTTCTGAAATCCAAACAAAATGGCCGCGAATGTTAACTTTGTTTAATTAAATGGAACCCGTATATTTTTACATATTTGGATAGAACGTTCCCTGTAGAGTATAGTCATGTAAGGTTTGTTGTGTCCATCACTAACAATAAACGAGATACTATTAAAAAACAAAAATAAGTTTTTTTATTAAGAAAATAAGACATCTTGTAACTGTTAAACCTTTTTCAGGCATTTCTGCCTTTTTCCAATTACGTAAGGATTTACAGATTACGTTATAATATATTTTAACAGATCGGTCACTGATATGGTCCAAAAAGCGTATAGGTATTGTAGAGCAAAGTTCTTTTCCATACTCTATTTTAATTCTAAATAATTTTCTACTTCTATGTAACCTATTTTAATTAAATAATAATACACACTGTCAATCAATAACAATGTTGTCAATACATTACTACCTGTCACTGTCACGACCTACCATATAATGTCCATGAGTAATTATTAGTGAGATTTCGTTACATTACCTATACGCATTTTGGACAGTATCAATGTGCGATATATCAAAATATAATATTATAACTAAATCTGTAAATCCTTACGCAAATGGAATAAAAGGCAGAAATGCCTGAAAGAAGTCTAACAATTACAAGATGTATTATTTTATCAATAAAAAACCTTCTTTTCGTTTTTTAGAAGTATCTGCTTATTGTTAGAGATAGACCCAACAAATCCTATATGGCTATGCTCTACAGGGAACGTTCTATCCAAATATGTAAAAATATACAGGGTGTTCCATTTAATTCAACAAAGTTAACATCCGCGGCCATTTTGTTTGGACTTCATTTGTTTTTCTACTATCATTTTCGAAAAACTCATAAAAAAATCGTGCAACTTTTATATTATATTGTAACATTTTTTCATAACTCTTAAAACAAAAAAGTTAAAGGGGGTCAAAATATAGTGAATCACCCTGTACAGTACACCGGAATAATCAATAAATTACTACCTATGTATTCCTGAATGTCCACTGCATTTTTATCATTAGTAAATAAATAACAATTCCGAATTATGTTATTTATCATCGGATTATGTTGATAAATATTTTCTATGAGGAAAGGAGGATAGAAGGACGAAATAAATACACGGGTAGAGTCTCGACCTCAAATCGCCGCTCTCAACAGCATACCAACTGCTTATTTCGCCATGACAGCTTTTGTAAGACCGAAATTTTGGAACTTGTACGAATGGTGAACCTAACATTTTCGAGAGCAATTTCTCAGTTATTTCCGAGTTGTGCACTTTAGGACTTTGGAGATATACTACATTAGTGGGTCTTTTTAAGTACACAGAGACTCGATCAAATCGGTGAACCTCTCCTTGTAAGACAACTTTATACAGAACGACGCGTAAACCAACCGAGACATAATAGGTGCGTGTAAAATCTGTTGTTTTTAAAATAATTTATCTCTATACCAAAGTGTTTCATTTAGACGCTAGATGTCGTAACAGATGACAAAATTTTTAGTTCAACCCATGTAACTCAACATTTTGTTCGAATTAAATGGGATTTGGTAAGCTAGTACTTGTGGTTGGATGCCACTTTTGGCCATGGTTACTCTTACAGTTGAATTTACAGACATGGGGAAAATATACACACCCTTAAGTAAATACTACATAAATAAAATAAAAAATATTTGTTTGCAGGTGACGTTACAACCTCAGTTCTTATGTTATTTTACAGGTTTCAAGATTTCAAGCTTTTCTCGCTTGCATTTTTTGTATTTTTAACGGTTTCTGTGTACTTAATTACACAGGCACACAAAAAACAAGTCAAAACTCAAGAGACCCACATATCTGTCATTTTCGAAGTAATCCGATCTAGTAGTTAAAATTCATGATTTGCCGACGAATTGCGGTGAAAAGTGAAATTTTTGGGTGAAAACTTATTTTTTCCTAAATTTTGTCCAAATATATAATTTTCGTAATATTTTGAGGCGCTGAACACGAGCCATTAGTAAAAATCCATGACTTCGATATTTCTCAGAAAATCCACTATTTGAGTGAAATTTGGCCTAAATATGGGTCAAAACTGAGTTTTTCCTAAATTTTGTCCAAACATATTATTTTCGTAGTATTTTGAGACGCTGAACACTATGCCATTAATAAAATTTACCCATGACCTCGACATTTCTCTGAAAATCCACTATTTGGGTGAAAACTGGCCCAAATATGGGTCAAAACTGATTGTTTCCAAAATTTTCGTAGTATTTTGAGGCGTTGAACACTGTGTCATTAGCAAAATTTATCCATGACCTCGATATTTCTTAGAAAATCCATTTGACTGAAAAGGCCCAGATATGGGATAAAACTGATTTTTTCCTAAATTTTGGCCATATATATCATTTTCCTTTCGAATTAAAATTTTCGCTCAACTTTCCAATAGAAACTTAGAAGCCTCCTCCAACCATTCTGCGCAATAGAAACCTATATTCTCGAAGACCCCCACTATCCTTCGGGTTANTTCTGTAGTATTTTGAACACGTTGTCATTAGTAAAATTATATTACGAAAAATATATATCTGGACAAAATTTAGGAAAAAAATAGTTATTGAGCCATATTTGGGCCAGTTTTCACCCAAATATGGATTTTCCAAGAATTATAGAGATCATGGGCAAATTTTACTCACGGCATCGTGTTCAGCGCCTTAAAATACAATGAAATTGATATATTTGGACAAAATTTAGGAAAAAACAGTTTTGACCCTTATTAGGACCAGTATTTACCCAAATAGTGGATGGATATTCTGAGAAGAAACGTGGGTAAATTTTACTATTAGCATCGTGTTCAGTACATCAAAACATGTACTGCGAAAATGATATATTTAGACAAAATTTACGAAATAATCAGTTTGGATCCATATTTGGGCGTTTTCTCCCAGAAATTTAACTTTTCTCCGAAATTCAACGGCAAGTCGTGAATTTTGACTACAAGATCGTGTGGGTCTCCTGGGGTTGGACTTTTTTTGTGTATGTCCCTGTTATTTTAGTATTTATCAGTTATTACAAACATATATTTTATACAGATCTGATTTAATTGCCATACATTGACAACAAAAACGAAACAATGCTTCATAAACTACAGAAACTTTTACTCATTAGACATTACATTAGAATTATTAGAAATAAACGCCATTCCGCAAATTGTGTATCAGATATATTTGAATTTCTATGATTATTCTTATTTGAAGAGCATTAAATTGGACGAATTGAATAAGAAATTACCGCAGATAATTTGCAGAATAAGAAAAGTCTGAAATTATGTGAAATCACTTTTTTCTACTGAACTATGTTTTATTAAAAATGGTGACCACTTCTAATCATTTTCATGTTTTATTTATAAATTTCTCAACTTCACTTCGTTTTTAACATTAATTAAATCAATTACTTCGGTTACTACATATATCAAAAAATGGCATCTATATACAAGTACAACTATATCCGATTTCAGTTAAATTGGAAAAAGCGTTTTAGAGTTAGGTATACGGAAACAACTAAATTTTGCTGTCAGTTTTAACGCCAGCTAGCGACTAAACGAAGCAACTTGGTGTAGAGGTAAATTGCGTTAAAACCATATTATTTTATGATCTATTACACATACATGTTCTGTGTTGTGTTGATTTACGAACCACCCTGTATAGAAACAGTCAAAATTAATTTTTTAGAGGTATAATTCTGTTTACCAGTCACCACTTACACTGTCAGAGGTCCACACAAATGATAATGACAATTTTTAATACATTCTATTAAAGAAAATTATATGTGATGTTAGTTTAGAACACGTATACTTTCTATTAAAAAAAAATAAAGAGGTTTTCCCATTCCAAATAAAAATATCTGATAAAGGATAGCCTTTGTAATGAAAGTAAATTTATGACGCCTAAAAAGTACTAGAATATAAGCTAACAAAGACGAAAACCAGTCAACCAGCATTGAGTTACACTCACAACATCAAGCAAAAGTTTTGAAATCATTATGATAGAAATAAAAAGCTACGTTAAATAAATCAGATAATATCGATTCTTCATTAATATAGAACTAATTATCCAATACTTATATTTTTTTTACAATTATGTTTTTAGTGTTCCTTCCTCTACAGGGTATTATATTTTTGTAGAGACATAAACAGAATTATTAGAATCGAATACTATTTTTCAGTTTCAAAGGAGGTATCTCAATATTCTTTCCCTTTTGATATTTGTTTTAGTAATGTTTAAAAGCTCCAATACTATTATTTTGTTAATGGCCATATTATTAAAATAAAAATCAACCCTTACTAATATTTTTAATGTTAGATGTTAAACGATTTGACATTTTAAAGGTTTTTAGTTCAAAGTTCGTGAAAATGATTATTTCCTGATACTGACAACGATAACTGCAATATTTGGAGATATTTTATGCAGAATATATAAATTTCGATAATTTTCTATTTAGCAAATAGAATTTGGCATATCAATTAGAGAAAAAATTGGAATGAGCACTTTTAGAAATATTTTAAATGGTTCCAACTGTGTCATAACGTAGAGAGCGGACAATGTGTGTCTTTAACCCGAAGAATAGGCCAAATTTTGGTAGAGATGTGTACGCGTTCAAAAATGTATTGTGTATAAACTATGCAAAATATAATTATTATGTATAGCAAATATATCGTATTATCCTCGCGAAGATTTGTACCCTTTATTTAAAATCCATAAATCATGTGAACAGGTTAAATAACGAGAAAATAATTAAGTTAATTTAGTTCTAAAGAAATGAAATGACACTCGCGCCCATCTCTAGTCCATCCGTCGACATCTGTTGCGTTTATCGAATTCCTATTGGTCAGAATTCAAACTGCAGCCCTGTTATGAATGGAGCGTGAGTTGGACTATTCTATCCTGTGCGTCGCCTGATGATATTCGTTACATTGACTCCTAATTTCCAATTAAAAGAACGACACTATTTTTAACCGAACTTTATTTAATAAATGTGTAGTATGCAATTTCTGATTTTCTAAATATTTTATAACGCCTAAAAATGTATGTACCGTGGAATTTTCGTGAATTATCACGTAAATTTCCGATGCATACCCGATACGCCACTGCGTCATGAATAATGTATCTAGGTTTATGAATGACATATCTATGTTCAAGGTTAAAGACACAAATTGTCCGCTCTCTGGTGATAAGCGTTTTTTGTATTACAAAATGTTTATAAAAAATTATCTATTTTTCGAATAAAGAGAAATATTGTATATTTTTTCTTAGAAATAACATTTCCCAGTTAAATAGCGTAAATGTGACATTTTGATTAAATATCAATACCCTGCATCTAGAAAACCAGTAGCTTTAGACTGTTTACGGAATAATGTCTTGAAATTATGATATAGGCTTAAAAAACCCCGTGTATAAATTAATTTAATTTATAATGCCAATATTGATCGAAATATCTAATTATTGGAAGTTTTCTAGGAATGTTTTTATTTTTTAAATAAAACGCCATTCAAACCACAAGTTGGAATCATGTGCATAAATTTCCATCCTATAGCCATGGAAATAAACAATCTATTTGTAAATAAACGCAATATATTCATAAATTTGGAAAAAGAAGAACCAAGTGTGGAGCCTTATAACTTCAATTGTTTGTGAAAATTGTATTGAAGGAGACAATTAGAAAATTTATATAATAATAGTATGGCGCTGCCAATGTTTATTAGTTGTTTCATAGCAAAATTAATTCTTTTCTACTGGATCAACCTCTTATTAAAACCATATAAGTATAGGATTGCCGTAAAGCCGAAGGTGACAAATATATTTATTTCTTTAAACTCATTGCGTCGAAAACAAATTGATAAGTTTATTAAGAAATATGTGTTTTTAATCTATTTCGAATGAGAATATAAAAGCTGAATAAAACTGTATTGTCATTATTATTACAACAAAAAATAATCTACAGATTCTACTCACCACTAATAAATATGCCAAATTTTATCACTTTCTACTTTTTAGTAAAATAATACCATTATTTGCAGTACATTGACCAAATTAGTGCCCCGCCCATTGAAAAAATATCTATGAAGCAATAGTTATAACCATTTATAGTGGCAAAATTCGTAACAATGGGAGTTTATAAATATGAAAAGTGTGTCACAAATGGTTAATTGATTTACGACAATTCAATCTATAATGCGCGCGCTATAAGGAAACGAGACAACAGAACTCGACAGAGTTGTTCTAGTTTAAGGGCTACCAATCGTTTACCAATTGGCCAAAGTTTAGGTGACGTTATAATCTGACAAATAATGTTTGACATCTATCTTGTCTCGTTTCCTTACAGTGCGTGAACTGTACACTCGTAAATAGTTGTCTTTATAGAGAAAATCGAATAAAAAATCGTGAATATGACACAACTATGATCAATGATTGTAAAATGTGGAATATGGGAGAATTGTTGCTAAATTAAGAATATTTATCTATGAATTTAGAATATTTTAGATATTTTCAGTTCCAACTATGTGCAAAATTTTCTATTTTACTATCGGCTGATTGTAACTCTTAAATACAGGTCTCTTATTGGTTGATACAAAAATTTGCACGTAAGTCTGCATGCTTTTCAACAAGTGTACTATTTTGAATTTGTGATTTAATAACTAATTGGGTAGATACACAACGTGTGTTTATTTATTATTTCGTGACTTAAAGCCTCTATCTATTCAATGATAGACGTTAATTCGAAATATTTTTTCATCCACATAAATAAATTGTGTATTAAATGTTATCTAGTATTTTCTTTACAACTTCTTGAGGAATCAGTTGCTTAAAAATGTTCGACCATTAATTTGTGTATTGATATACAGGGTGTATTGGCAAAGTTGCAACAATTTTTCCGAACCTATCCCTTAAAATAAATAAAAACCAAAAGTTACATTTTCTAAAACGATTTTTAAGAACTACAATCCTTCAAAAACCAAACATGAATTATAGTTTTTCATCAATTACCTCAGAAACCATTGAAAAGAATAGGTAATTCAAACTTAGCATTCCTTGAAATTAGGAGTGATTTAAGAAGTTTCGATTGATAAAAAAAGGTATTTGAAGGACATTTTTTAAAGATCTGAAAGGACGATTTATTTGCAATTACAGCTTTTGATGAGCTTATGCCAATGTTAGCAGCTCATCACTAATAAAGGTTAGATAAAGGCTAATCCTAAATGATTTATCAATTTAGTCCGATTTAAATAACTTCACAATATTTTTTCACAATAATTAGTGTAATCAAAATATCGTGCTAATTGCAACCAATGTCATCCAATGCTCATCAAATTCTTACGATCAATAAATACAACTTTAAAAAAACTGTCTGAGATTAGAGATCCAGATAAGCTATTTAAACACTCGGTCCAGTTTTATTGCCCAAATCTGATCTGCTACTACCGAAGCTTTAAAAATGTCGCCACTGGAATCTGCTTCTTGTTTTGTTGACCAAGTTACAAAATTTATAACCAGAACATGGACCAAATTCAACAAAAGATATATTGAATAATGGACAAACTGATTATTTTTTAATATTTAATTTGATACAAATATGTAGATGTAAAATTTAGTACTTTATTAAGGTATATTTCTGCAGTGAATGAAATATTCGAGACTTTATATTTTTTCTTACTGTTACAGCGTTAAAATAACACATAACAGTACTGTTTCCAATCAAAAGCAGTAAAAATAATAGGTATTCTAAAACATTTTTCATTTAAATTGATTTGATGATCTTTTAATTGGGTCTTATGAGGATTGTAAAGGATAAGTAAAATTTATCTTTGCCACAATACAAAATACGTATATCGACAAAGCAAGCTTTTAGATACATTAAACGCCCATTTTTTTTTGAGTTTGAAGGAGAATTATTATAAATTATGTATCTTACAAGTACCTAATCGATTTCTACGAGCTGTCATACGGTTCCTTAGATATCGGCTTCTTACAAGTTGCTGTGGAAACTGTTCATCAATTGTGCATTCTAAGTGGAAACACCAAAAAAATCTGCATTCTCATAAGACTCTGTACTAAGTCGTGAAAAATTATTTTATTAATATCTCGTCTCTTAGGTATCCAAACTAGTCATAATGTTTTTTGAGAATTTTCTTCATATTAATAAGCTTATATTAATTTTTTATGAATATTTGGTCGTCAATTCCAAATCAGATAAAACTCCTTAACGAGAAATTAAAAAATACAATAACGAAGTAATGTAACGCTTATAACAAATGGGACAAGCTGTATAATTGAAAATAATTTTTTTATGTAAAGAAATTGATTTGGTGCAACTTTTATTTGAAATAATATTCTTATGCATTATTGATATTACTAAGCCATAGAAGAATCCGATTAGATATCTCTTATTTGTTTCATTCAGTTGTTTTTTGTTTTGTAATGAGTTTGTTAAATTGATCAAATGTCCGTTAATATTTTTATCTTATTTTTCATTTATTTCAATTATTTTTATAAATAAATAAACAAGTACATGATTCTCGACGAGATGAAACTCTTCAGACTCCTGCTAATTCCGGTGCCACTATTTTACCTCTTAAGGCTCTCGAGTAATTGTATTTCACATCTTTCAGGAGTTCTAAAGAAGCTCTTTAATGAAACGAATTACCCTTGTTTTCTTTTATGTTTATTCTGGCGACACGAGTCTTTGCTAAAAGTTTGTTGCAACGTCACTATTACACCCTGTATCAATTCCTATTGTAAGACCAGCCTGCGTGTGTAAAAATCGATAAGATCCGACACTTACCTCCAGGTGGTTTGGGAGCCGTGTAGCTCTTCAACGGGATCTTACTGGGCCTCCTCTTACCGCTGTCCGTAGACTTTCTGGTGCTCTCCGCCTGGTCGTGGGCAGACTCGGTGCTGCTGGAGTGGTCCATTTGCAAATTTAAGGGCAACGGACTCATAGCCTTCATGCTGGCGGTTGAGACCTCCGTCCGCGAGATCGGGTGATCCGGCGGGGTCGACTCTGAGGTGGGGATGACGTCTGGCGAGCCGCTCTTGTTCAGAGGCTTCTGCAGGTCTTCTAACAGCCGGACCCTGGCGCGGGTGCCCTCTAGTTCTATGTTTTTGTCTTCCAGCTGAAACAAAGGTCGATATATTGTCCGAAAGAATTTGTTTGGAGCGTTTCTGAAATCGTTTCTCATGTAAAAATGTATAAACACTGCATTGAAGATCTCTAAATATTAGAATTAATGAAAAATTATATTAATATGGGAGAAATTAAAAAATTTGTGAGCACACAAAGGAAAACAATAAGTAGTAGATAAGTAGATTTTGTTGATTAAGTGGACCAGGAAAAATTTGGAAATGAAGAAAAAATATAAAAACAAAATTAAAATAATTGGCTATTACTTTGTTTAATAAAGATAAGTGTGGGTTTAATTCTTTAAGATTGATTAAAGATTGATTGATTACAAATTTTCAAGACGAAATTAGTAATAATAGATAAGAGTGAACAGCGAATTAATTAAGATTTCAATTAAAATGTCTGTCATTTATCTCACAAATAAAGAACAAACTAAAACTTATAGGTATTAAGCTAATTCAAACATTTTTCTAAATATTCTATTAGATGATATCAAACAATGTTCATCGATACAAAACTGATATTGCGGCAAACAACTACTCTAACTATTATACTATATTCTCGCAATATCATCAGATTATCTTGTTTATCAGGTTATATAGAAGTGTTTTGCATACCTAGATTTTTGGTATCGAAGAACATTGTTTTACTTGAAACTTTTTGAATTTATTAAATTTGCTTAATACATTTAAATTCAAGTAACAATACCAGAGCTCATAATAAAATACATATTTTAAAAAAAGGAAAATACTCTATCCTCAACATTCAACTTAATAGAGTACTAAATTCTCTTGAGTCGACATCAGAACATTTTATAAAAAAGATCTTAACTACTTTTAGGTAATTTTAGTCATTTAAACTGAATTGTTCAAAATTATGTAATTAGAATTAATAACACTGATACTGTTATATTTCAAATTAACTTTTACCTTTTTAAAATGTATTATCTAAAATTTTAAAATATTTAATTTATCACTATTTAAACATTCTATACTTATCTTATTTATCGGTACAGCGAAAGAATGGCTTGGGCCAAATCTGTTATCTATTGTGGAAACTTCTTTTAATTTGCACAATAAATATTATTATTCTTACAGTAATATGGATTTAATTAGCAGATAAATTATTGATAAGGTGGAAAAACTTATCCCAAGTGCTTACTGAATGTCATTATAACTTCTCTAATGATATCAGACTCATTTATGGAAGCAGATAAACAAATTAATTAAGAATACAAATTGTCAGATTTGACAATTTTAGTAAAAAAGAGCGCATCGTTTTGAAAACGATAAAAAGACAAATATGTATTTACTTACAGTCCGTACGATATTTGTTGAGATAAAAATCCAAGAAGACCCCTTTCAATTTTTGAAATGGGAAGTAGCTATACATATGGAGTAAAAGTCAGAATTGAAATTTTTATTTTAAAATTAGTATTAGGACATTATTTGAGGTTATAAACAGATTTGTTTTATAAAAATGTTGTGTAAAATAATAAATAATGGTACTTCTCTCTTGAGAATTTTCGTGTTTCTTTAATTTGTTAGCACCCTGTATATCTAATCCAAGATGTTTGTATGACAGTCTCAGTTTTTCGAGAGGCAGAACTTTTTATAAAGAGTGACATTTTTCGATAAAGTCAAAAACAAAAGAGCTTCTCCTCTTGTCGACTCCATCCGTGGACACACCGTATATACATTATTAATAAACATTATTGTACTTAAATTCTCAAGTATTTACTAAGTTATCTTATTAAAAAAGTGAAAAAAATCAAAAAATTTTATTTTTTGCTTTCTTTAAAATTGTTTATTAACCATTTTCTGCATAAAATTTTCCTTTTATATTTTTTAAATAAGCCATTTCAATGAGAAATTCAATTCTTCACAAAATTTAAAAAATTACAAAAGTGCATTTTAACCCTTATCTTCACTTTCAACCATCTAATTTAATAGTACCCCGCGGTTTTTACATCTAATGACCCTTCGAACAAGTCATGTGATGATGAAAATCCTTGAACGTCTTATTTCCATCTTTTTTTTTGCAAAAAATGAGAATTAAAATGTATAAGGGTAAACGCGATGAAAATTGAAAAATTGGTTAAGTTTGAGCAGCCATATATGAGTCAATTTTCATCCAAAAATACTTTACAACCTCTTGTTTTGAAGGAAATGTTATCTACTTTTTTTCTATGAAGCAATGCCTATCCTTCCTATCCTATCTTTACTCAAAACTAGAGGCAAAAAAGTAAAATAAAAAATAGAAAATCGAATTTTTCGCTTTTTTTTCAAATTGTTTATTAACAATTTTTTTTGTATAAAATTTTCCTTTTAAATTTTTTTCTCTGGGAAATTCAATTCTCTAAATAATTTTTCCTATGAACTATAGCCAAATTTTGCCTCGTTTTCAAGCTACAATTAAAAAACTGAAAGGGGTGCATTTTCACCCCTATCTCCAATTTCCACCCTCTAATTTAATAGCACTCCGCGGTTATTTCATCTAAAATGACCATTTGAACGATTCATGTAATAAAATATCTTAAACGTCATAGTTTCTTTTTAAAATTCTATATTCAATAGCCTATTATTTATTATTTATTAAAGATGAAAACATAAAAATAAAAAGTTTGAACACCGTTCGACCACATACTCCTGGCATCAAAATAATATACCATAATATTTATATATCAATTTACCTATATGTTATACAAACGTCAATTCCTAGGGAATATGGTAATACGCAACAATATTTTTTTAATATCACATAGTAAGAGCCTTCTTATTTGGTATGCTTTTGCTGATTTTCTGTGGTCGCATTTCCCTGGCCACTCTATTATTTTTTCTATAAGTTTTCTCGAGGGTTTTCTAATACAAAATTGGTCACTAAATGTTTTTGTTTCTTGTGACATATTGTTAATTCGTGCAAAATGGAGGTAGTAAACGTGCTGAAATCAAAGGACGTCCAAAAATTTCGATTCTATATTTTGAAGAGTGAATTTAAACAGAAAAAAAGTGTATGAACATAACGTATGAGCCTTCTTTCACTGTTTATAAATGTTGTCCCCAATGGTTTTTCATTGAATTTGGTAATATTCTTATAGCAAATATATTAAGAAGTGTCACATAAAATATAGGTTCTATTTTACTCGAAATTAATAACAAATTTTTGAACATTCTGTATTTCAATACATTTAAATCGAAAAGCTTTCCTGTTTAAATTTTAAAAATTATCTTTATAAAATGTAAATTATACGCATATAAACAAAAAAGTTATGTCAACATTTTCTAATACAGAAAAGGTATAGGAAAAACTTTCTTATTTTTCATTTTATCGTTCTTATAGTAAGATTGGAATTGAAAATTTAACATTTCTTGTACGGAGTGTTAAAAGAATTGAAAAAACTTTAAATGGTACAAGAGTACCCAAAGTAACTTTTTTCGGTAAAAAAGTTTTTCCTATAACGATTTTATAAAAATTTGTTTACGATATTGATTCCATTTCTCATGCTGCATCTATTCCCAAATTTTTTTGGATAAGTTGTGAATCACCCTGTATAAGTAAGTTGATTTGAATAGTCTTATATTGATCTCAGCAGCATGTGATCGCGAGGAGTTTCAATCTTTCTGGGAGACCTTGTATAAGGATCGATTGTCTAGACGCAGACAAACATTCAGTCCAGTTTGGAGGCGGTTTGTATGTTAATTTCAGTGTTTTCTGGTTCGTTACTTTTTACTGCTAATCGCAGGTGTATCTGAGAATTCAGATGAACGTAAAATCTTATCCCAAACAACAAACATCAAAATTATAATGCGAATGAAGAGATAGTTAATTTTAATATTTTTGATACATAATATCTGACTCATACAATATTCATGGGTAATTTGGAATAAATGAAATCAAATTAATTTGGTTTACATCTGCAAACAGTTTATTATCTAGTACAACTGCATCAATTCAGCTTTATAAATCTTGGACTAATTTTTAATTTTCTTGAATTATAAAATATAAAACTTTATACAGAGCAAACTCTGAATACAACGTCGGAATAAATTAACTTTTATTATCAGTTGAAAGTATTTTTTCAATAATTGTGATGAAGTGATCATATTCACCTCTATTTGTAGTAATTTCCAGTCTAAAAATTAAGGTAGAAAGATTGTCTACAACGTCGTACAACCCAGCTTTATTTTTTTTGTACTGAAATAAAAACGGCAGGGGTTATTAAAAAAAAACATGTTGATTGGAAATATGTTATGTGTATGTTGCTCAAATTAAGTTGTCTCATTGAAGAATTAATGGCTATTTATGTATCTAATAAATACGCAAAATAGTTCTTTGATGGAAGTATCTCGATGTTTACGGAATATCTAGGTGAGTTCGTTAAAGTAATTTGGTTAAGTATACAAAATTGTTGTATAAGAAAAAATATGGGACCCAAGATGGATCTATGAGGAACACCTATATACCTACACCTAAGCACTCTGATCGACATACTGTTCTGTTGTACCTGTATGAACCAGTCTCTTTTTGTTTGAAAAGTACAGGTTTTGAGTAGACTGTAGGTATATTAGATTTATCAGTCGACCTTAATAATTTGGTTTCACTAGTTAATACCTTTAATTTAGTGTCACTTATCAGAAGACATTTTACGTCAACAAATCACGCATTCAATTATTTTACGCCCGCTTTTACTTCAGGATCACTCTAATTTCCACTAATTCATTCTATTCGGCTACAGTGGACGTGAAGTAATTAAGTGGAGTGTATTTGCGTCCAAAAAAGTTCGTCAAACTGCATTTTATAATCGATGGATGAATTTTTATTTAATTTTCCCAAAAACAATAAATTATTTTGCAAAATCTGTAGAATAAATTTTTAAAAAGAAAGCTGGGTTGTGTAGATGATGAAATGACACGTTAACATATTGTTTGATATACAGGGTGTTTGGTAAGTCGATGTATTCCTTGAAGGAGGTTATAGTACAAATGATTTGTG